AGAGAGAGAGAGAGAGGGCAGTGATAAAGGGGATGCATTACGGGGGTATAGATCTGTTTTTGTATTAGCAACTTCCAAATTAAATTAAGTCATTCTTAAGGACCTGTGTATATTTTTTGGGGTGTACATGTGAACATTTATATGCATTTAACAAGTTGAAGAGTTGTCAGGTTTTATATTGCCGCTATGAATCAATTCATACTTGAAATATTTAACATATAGAAAAATAGATGAAAATTAAATCAAGCTGACTTTTGACCGTCTGAAAAAACCCAGATTATCCCAGATGAATATAAAGCCTATGAAGAAAATCTAGTGGATAACTAACGTTTCCTGCAAAACTGAAAAGATAACAACTGCGGGAGAAGTTGAGGTAAAAGGGTTAAGTGATGTAAAGTAAAAGAAAAAAGGCACTAGAACTTTTCCACTTCTTTCCTCTCAACTATGTTGTGTCATGGCCACATGGTGAGGGAGAGCTAAGCTAAGGCCTCACGAAAGCCTTCATGTGTTTTCTTTCATTTTGGACACATACTTACACAAGTTAAAAGTCCTACTCTCAACTCCAACAGCTACTGTAACTAATGATCCCACTTTTCAATAAACCGTCCTTCTTCAATTATTCTGACTATAACCTCACAATCTCCCTCTCTCTTTCCCATCCCCCATCCCCTCCAAACCCCATGGCGCCCACCCTCCACCTCCACCATCTCAGTCTCAGGATGCAGAGCAGTGACAGGGCCAGAAGGTAATGATACAGCTGCCATGATGCAACAAGCAGACCTGTCGACTGTCAGGAATTGAAATCATGAAGGAATAAGCTGTCATTAAGAGGCCCTCTCCCAGTAGTGGAGCTGTCAGACGCCTGCCTTCTGCCTACTCTCTCTCTCTCTATACTCCCGTCTCTTCTCTGCCAGTCCCACCCCATTTGCAGTCACTCCCTCGCCCTCCTCTCATTTCTCTCTTCAATCCTCTCTGTACCCCTCTCCTTCTTTCCTCTTCTGTCCTCTTCCAACCAATCATAACCCTTCTCCCTCTGCACCCCTTCCCCAACTCCCCCACTCTCCATCTCAGATTCCTCTTTTCCACCTCTTTCCCCTACTCTCTGGTTGTTGCTGGAGCATCCTCCTCTCACCTGTCATTTTACCGCTAGACTATGGGAATAGCACCATCCATGTGCACACACATGCACATAAAGACAACATGCTTGAGACCTGCACACACAACACACAGAGATTTCTCTTAACCCAGTGGCACTGTACACACTGCGCCAAATGCCATACCCTCTGCCCAATGAGATGCATTTGTGTCTGTGTGTGTATGTTTTCTCTGTGCGCACATGTCTGTGTGTACATATTTTAGACTTATCTTTAACATACACATTTTGCCAGCTTATTAATGTGTCATCATAATATAGCAGAATGACAAAGATTGTGATATATCCAAAGACAGGAGCACAGTGGATATGGGTGGCAGAGACAGGCGATGGGGTGTAAGAGACAGGCTGCCCCGGGATTCACCCTGTGATTTTGTGTGTGTGTGTGCATGTGTGTTGTGTTAAGGGCCTGATTAACTAGCGCAATCAGCAATTTTTTCCCTCTGGAAGAGAGGAACAGCTGACTCAAAGTTCCGAAGAACATGGTTGAGAATTTCAGATGGTGGTGCCTTGACACTATGTGCATGTCCCATTCATACCATAGAATTGCACTGCATCCACACACACACTATGAGTCAAATTAACTGTGTGTGTGTGTGTGTGTGTGTGTGTGTGTGTGTTTTCATGCTTGCTCATGTGTTTTGCGAAGCCACAAGCTCCCCCCATATTTTCCGAATGCACTCCATTTGACCCTTTGCTGCAGGCTTTGAATTTCCAATCAACTTCCCATGAGTAACTTCACATGAACTGCACTTGAGGCAAGAGTTTCTTGCCACAAAACATTTTTGGAAAATGGAGCCTTATCTAAACATAGTAAAATGTATAGTAAAAATGTCAACATTTCACCCAAAACTGCAATTTTGCAAAACAAAATTTGTAAATCAAAAATATTGAGGAATTGTCATGGTACCAGAGCTGTCAAATGCCTAATATAATATAGCCAAAATAACTGCCTATACAAATATGGATATGTTAGTGTTAGTTATGGAAAACATGTTGGCTTACCATTTTGATTGTTTTATTGTGCTCACTAGTCATGTGGTGTACTTTTCAAGCATACTGCAATCCACTGAAAATACCACACTGAATAACCATAATGGGTACTGTCAATGGGTATGTAGTGTGACACAAGTTACACTTATTGTCTCTGCGAGTTAACGGCTCCTCATCCTCTCCTTGAAGTTCCTTGAAGGTAAACTAATCATCAAAATGAGCTGATGGCTTGTTGGGTTAAGAGGCCACATAGGACCGGCCAAAGCTTTTGCGCTGGCACTGTAATAACAACTATTCCTTCAAGTGGTCTCATTCACAAACTTACATGATCACAGGATTTTGCTCTAAATATGGCGTAATGCTGCTGATTGTGGATTTTGCTGTCCGTATTTGCTGTGTCACAGAGCTACTGTGTCAGAGAGCTGTCATTCATTTGTGAGTTATTGATTGATATGTTTTATCACTTGTTTGCTGCATGCATGTAAATTAAGATATGAAATGTATGTTTATTACCAAAAAAACAGCTGCACTAAATCACGGACTACACTTCTTTCTTTAGATTGTATAGATGCTGTAACTCCTATACATGCACCAATACCTCTACACAAATTTCATGGTATGACATAATAAACCACAAACATGGCTGTAATAGATGCAGACAGCATGAATTGACTGTAAATGTGTGTGCCTGTCTTTCCAGTGCACACACACACACACACACACACACACACAGAGTGCAAGGCCTGTGTGTGGTAAATGCCTGGATGATGATTTGTCAGGGTGTAAGAACACGATTTCTTGTTTACTATGATGAATGAGCAACACTCGCACTCCACACACCATGTTCTCTATATCGAAGCTGTCACTTTGGCTTTCTGCAGCACAACCCTGCCTTCTCCAACTGTAATACTAGCCAGGGTAACTGTAATTCAAAGTCTTGGGGTAGCCAAATCATCCGTTAACACACACATGGACACACAGGCAAGCAACCCAAATCTCTCCTGTTGTTGTACACAGCAGGAGAGGGCTTTACACAGCAGTGAAAGTCTTTATGGCATTCAGATGGACGAAACGAGGGAACGAGGGGGAGAGGGAGAGCAGGATCTCCCTTAAGTCAATTTGAACAGCAGGCCGATAAAATTACACAGGTAGTCGTGGCCCGGCTGACAAATGAACACAGAGATGGGGATGAAAATAATAAGAAAGGCAGAGCCACCTTTTGCTTGCTGACACACAGATGCATACACCCGTGTGTGATCATACGGTAGAGAAAGAAAAACTAATCTATATTTTACATTATATTATCTCTTCCTCTCTCTCAGCTCACCCGGACATGAGTATACAGAACTACATATGAATCATACATCATAAGAATACATAAATGTTTTCTTGTATAATAATGATCATGTTGATGTATATGCGTCATTTCACTAACAAGACAATATAAGCCTCAATACTGGGTTGAGCACCGTACAGTAATAGTATCATTCATGAGTTTGCACCTGTGAATGAATGTCTGCTTGTTACTATGTGCCTCTCTGATTATATGATGCTGTGGAGTGCAGAAATTTCTCAGCATCATATAATTTCTCATATGACCCCAGGACAAAGTTTCCTTTCCACTCCACACTTGTGTAAATTGTACAATGAAGTTACTGAATTGGGTCGGTGCAGTACATCAGAGTATAACCTATGAAAGCACACAGCAACAACAAATTACCCACAATCACATTCAAACCTCCAGTCAATACAAAAATACAAAATGCCATGACACTCTGCTTCTCACTGTGGCACAACACCTTCCACAGCCCCAAACATTCAAGCCTGCCCTTCAGAATAAACAGTGTGTGTTGCACTTGCCACACCAATATCCTATCAGGCTAACCACTGTGGTAGTGGTGGTACAACCACATGATGAGCACACTGCATGACTTTTTCATTCAGAAACCCACAAAACTCTACACACCAAAGATGTGTCACAGTTTATACTCTGTGCAAAGGAAACTACTATGTGGAAAATAGAGGATATAAATATAATGTCTTTAGAACTGGCTGCACAAAATCCTCTTCTGACATATTATTTACAGTGTCCTCAGTGCACTCAGACCACCCTTCCCTCTTAGTGAAACATAAAAACAGGACATCTTGGATGAAAGATCAGAAAATCAGTTCAACATTAAACAGAATAGCTTGAACTTCTTTTGTTGTGCCCCCTACCGCCATGGCTCTGGTGATGAAGGGAATCTGTGTCCCTGAGTCCAGGTCCTGGTTGATGATAAGTCTACGGGCCCACTGACCAGCCCGCACCACACCACTGCCCTGAATCAGCACCAGCAGCTTGGACGGATTGGACAAGGCATCTGGGCTCAGGTAGATAAAACTGGTGGGCTCATCTTCTGTAGCATCCACCTAAATGTTCAGGAAAACAGGTTACCATGTGTTACTGATGTCAAACCCCAAAAATGTCTTCTATAAAGAAAAATGTACACTTTACTAATTGTGTAAAGAAAACAAAACTGCTGAACATGACTTCATAGACTTTTGGGACCTTTAACTCAATCAAAATAAATCTCTGCTCTTTTCATGCAACAGCAGCAAATGCAAAATATGATGAAATTGTGATTTTATAATTAGAGCTTTGATTTCTGCTGCTTCAAAAAACTGCCTGATAAAGATTATGAAGAGAAACGTTAGAAATGTTCTTATGTTACATGCACAAGTTTAAGGAAAAACAGCCATCTCCTCAGTGGCCTTTGTAATTAAAAAAGCTCATATGCATCAGTACACTAATTATCAATAATCATGATTAGAAAACAGCCTTTGTGTGATTAAAACTGAGGCAGAAAGTAAAGTAAAGACAGAAAGAGAGGCTAAGTGAGTGTTTGTGTGTGCATGCACTCTGTCCACTTCCCATGTGTCTTTGCATCCCTCCCAAGTCTGCCTGGAAGAATCTCTAAGGAGACAAACACTGTCCATAAAAGCCATGGGTGGCAGCTGCAAGAACTTAATCCAAGCAGACAAAGAGAGCCGAGTGGGGGAGAAAATCTTACCCTTTATTCTCTTGTGCTCCCTCATTCCCTCTCCCTATACTTGGCTGTGGTTAATCTTCTTAAAATCTGCGGTCACAAGTTCAATGCCACGCAGGTGGACGGACCCACCAGTAACACACAAATACACACACACACGCCATATACACGCAGGCGGGTGGGCAGCAGAAAAGTAGAACAGAGCAATTTTCCAGAGGAATAATGAGATAAATAGGCCAGGCAGATAAACCAGTAAAAGTGTATGGGGGCTAATGAAAGGCGCTGAGTCCCTGGCTAGGTGATTTATGGACACTGTTAGCGCTGGAGCTAACTCTGCTATGCTTCTAAACACCAGCGCAGCCTAACATCCCCATAAACGCAGCCTGAAAAATGATCACAACTTTTATAAACAGAAAAGGAGCAGGAATGGAGGGGTAAAGGGGGGCAAAAAGAGACAAACATGCTTCCAACAACAAATAAAAGGGATCAAGTGTGTGCTCTGAGCCTGGATGAGCTGGGCAAAGAATAACTCCATGATGGCAGAGTAGAAGTCCCCTTCAGCGCAAATGAATGCAAAACAGATTAAGCATCAGCATGCTGCGCCTCTGTGCCTTTGAAATGACACGTCACAATACAGTTAATTTGTTGAGGAGACACTTTTGCACAAAGGATGTGGGCAGGGGAGGGGGTTAAAGAAAGAGAGGGAGTAAGAGAGAAACTGAGTGAGATAGAAAGAGAAAGACAAAGAATGGTAGTGAATGAGGAGAGCTGACTCCCCACAATCCCCTTTTCTTTATTTTTTTTAAACAGGACACTCAATATCATAATCACACACTGAAGCCTAAGCATTTACGTCAATTTTCATTTTTAATACTCCCTTTAATCTTCAAGGGCATAAATCAAAGAGGAAAATGCTTCTTTTCACTTTGGGTACTTACTGGCAGGATTGCTTTAGTCATGTTGCACTTTTTCTCCAACAGCTCATAAACATACTGAGTGATGATCTGGAAAGAAAAAAAAGACAGGACACACACACAGTCAAACATTACATTGATAATACAGTCTAATGCAATGAATATTTATACACTGCCGTTGATACAAATCCATCCAACAAAAGCCAACTAAACTCTGTGTGTATGTGTGAACAAGTAATAGCAACAACTGTCATGCTTGCAAACAGAATAAAAAATACTATTCAAAAACCGCGTTTGCCCTCTGGTGTGTGTGTGTGTGTGTGTGTGTACATGAGGCTACTTGAAAGGGTCTGGATCATAAACGTGTGCAGTGTGTGTGTGTGTGTGTGTGTGTGTGTGTGTGTGTGTGTGTAGGTGTGTGTGTGTGTGTGTGTGTGTGTGTGTGTGTGTGTGTGAATCACAGTGCAGTTAGAGTGTTGAGGTTGTAAGTGCCAGGAGAGGAAATCTCCTGTACAAGCGAAGGGCTGATGTAAGTTATGTTTATCCCCGCAGCCACAGCACTAAAGAACCTTGTATACCGAATCATTCCAACCCCGGGCCAAGCCTTTCATGGTTCAGTGACATTAACAACTTTCTTTTCCATTTTCCCTATATTTTCTTTCCTTCTTTTCTTCTCCCCATGTCCTGCTTAGCTGAGAACAGAGAGAAGTGCTTTGTAGAACAGATTTAAATTTTTGATCAGTTGTGAGAGAAAGACAGAGGAGTGGTGATAACAGATGACAGGGCACATGACCGCTGGCAGTGAGCTGTGTTGGAGCTGTTGTGGCTGTGATGATATTTCCCAAACACGTGCAATGACAGACTCCCTGTCCTGTACATGTCACAACAATACAATGATGGACTACAGGGAGAACTGAGTAACATGCTGTCTGGCTCCGCTGTAAAGTCTCACTTTGGTTAGCTTTTGAAGCATCAGCTTTACTAAATCAGAAAAACCAAAGGCTAGCTGTAGCACCACAGCTATAAAATGAGACTGACTAAGTGGCTGACTGCAATCACAAACAACGATCAACCAGAGACTGCCATGTCTCACAGCACAGAGTGGCATGATTCTCATTAATGTGTTGAAAGGGGGAAAATTGCATTGAGATTTAATAACAGGTCAATAGACATTTACACATTCAATGTAATAGGGATGCACAAAAATAAAACTGTACTTCAGCTTTTTAAATATCAATATACACCATCATACATTCACAAGCCACTCGTGTATTTCTGAAGCCAATCAAAGGAAACTTGTTGATATGCTGAATGTCACAGAAACATAATGCTATTTCTTAAACCAAGGAAGCTAGACTCAGTCCAATCAACATTACAACATGTCTCCAAGTTCCTTAGAGAAGTGAGAAAATCTCACTGCCAAACATGACTATTACTAAAATGTACCAACAAGTTAAAAAAAACAGATTCTTTTGGGCCATGATCTGCTTAGCTTTTGTAATTTTTGGCACACCGAAAACAAAATGTTTTCTTAAGACCACCTGCTGAAATGTCAACCTCGGGACAATGAAATTATGCATAATCTAAATTACATGTTCCAAATTCCAAACACTTTTTAAATGGCATGAATTGGCATTTTCACACAGAAAATAAAGGAAAACAAAAGGCCAAATGCAACTTAAGAGTACTCAAAAAAAGCTTCTAAGTCAAACGTGAATTCTCATGATAATCACAATATTGCCATGCTCTTTTATGCCCGAAAGAAACTCAATGCTAACTTGATTTAATGCTTAAAGAACAACATGCAAGAATAACATTAGGCACCAGACACATATTAGCCTTATGACAGCCAATCAAAGGCCAGCAGACGGACCAAATGAGATGATCGATTCTACCATTTGACCCTGTGAAGGGGGGAAAAAAGCTAGAGAAGCTAAAACAACCCCACCTCACCCCAGCCCACCAAACCTCCAACAGCTAATTCACTAAAATGTCAGCTGGTCTGATGAAGACTAAAATGATTCCGGGCCTCAGTATGCTAGTGTTTAATGACATCAATAAGCCTCACAGGAAATTTCATTTGCACTATGTTATTTGTTCAGTGCCTCAGGTGGTTCCAGAACCATCTGATATAGAATAAGGAGAGACTGATGGGGAACGAACAAGAGAAGAGAGAAAAGGTGGAAAGAATGCATGTGTTTCACTGTGTGAATGAATTTCCACTGAAAAGGATACTGTAGATTATAAGTAAGAATCGAATATCCAAGCTTGAATATAGGTCGGTCATCTGTGTGCTTTAGTTCATTATGTAAACTGCAGCCAGATGACCCTTTCAGTAAACAAGATCCAGACCAAAAGTTGATAAAGGGACAGTACTAGTATTCCACTGGGTCAAAATCTGATTTTTCATGGGGGTGGGAAATGGGATAGACTCAAAGAACAGGCACTTAGAAACTCACAAATACGTCCTGGTGCACACACAAACGTGCGCAGACACGCAGCCAACCTCCTTCTGTGTGGGCCTCTGAGCACTATGTCTCAGCAGCTGATCAGTACAATAGGAAAAGCCTCTTTGTCACCTAATTACCAATGTGTTATTAGTGCTTTAATGAAATGCCTGCAGGAAGCAACGCTGAGTGCCTGCATTGTCGGCATTGGACGATAGGAGAAGCAGGGATTTGGCAAATAATATCAAGACACACAAAGAGAAGGGAAGGGGGGGGATAAAAGCAACCTAAATCAATTCAAATTGATAGGTCTCATAACCATAAACATGCTTACAATGTCCTTTTTTATCTGCAACAAATATGTACTATCATTTAGGTTGACAAGGTGGGTGCAACATTATCTGAAATGTCAATGTAAGCTTAGATTCTCTCTACCATAAAAAGTGGAGGGCAAAGTCCCAGACTGCATAATTTCACTGCCAAAGACACAGATCAATGTCAACGAGTGACACTTCACAAAACATTTGTAACCATTGTAACCCTCACTGACTTTGTCACCGTTGTCACAAAGTCAGCCTTCACACTGAGTTGTGAAAAGAGCAAAAAAGTAGAGTTTCCGAATGATGATGTATCCTAGAACAACAGCAAGCTTTTATAAGGCCGTGAGAGTGATCGTGAGAGAGTCTGAAATAGACCTTCTGCGGCTGAGGTCACCTCTATGTCTGTGGTTTGTTTGTGTAGAGGAAGCATTGTGGCGATGAAGCAAGAAGAACAGGATCAGGGAGGAAGGAAGGGACTTAGAGGAAGGCTCAGTGGGAGGAAAGAAAGAAGACAAGAAGGGAGAGATGGAGAAGCAATTCCCAGGAGCCAGAAGTTCGTGCCAGCTCCCACTGCAGTGAACAGCTGAGAGGAGAAGGAGTGATGGAAGGAGGGATGGAGGGGAGAAAAGAGAGTAAACATAACAGTGGCCTTGATAAGGGGCCTTTAAGTGGGTGGGCTATGACATCAACTCCTTACAAACCTCTGGTCATCCCCATAACAATCTCTTCATCACTCTCAATCACACACCAAGCCAAGGTCTTAATAAAGACCATTGTGGCTGCAAGTTGATATGTTTTTAAACTCCTTGCTACAGAGATAGACCTCCCACCTTATGTGTGCACATGTATCAATTAAAGTGCATAGGTATGTGTTCTTGCACTGATTACAGTCATGCCTGGTTTGGCTGACCGCACCTAAGGCGATAAGGAAATGATCTTTCCTGGGCATATACAAAACAAACATGAGGAGGAAGAGAACCAGGACAGGAAGAGGTGATTGGATAGAAAGGTAAGAAAGACAAGAAGAGGAGGACCGGGAGGAAGTGTTTCATAGAGATAAATAAAGACTATTTAAGACCAATTTGAAATGCGGCAAGCCCACATGAATTGTTTAAACAAATTTAATGTAATCAGAAGTCATAGTTACAGAGCTGTTTTAATGCCTTGTAAGGCTTCTAGTTTAAATAATGTAACAGGAGACATTTGTGGGGGCCAAGAACCCTCACTGGTTTATCTGGAAAAAAACTTTCAATTTCAGTGTCAGCCATGGGCATAAATAAACTCAAGACAGCAACACATACTGTATACACACATAAACAAGAAACTCGTGTGTAGACACACACCTCTTGTCTCTCTAGTCCAGAGCCCCCTCCAAAAGCCACTTAGCCATAGAAACCAGAGAGCAAGAAGACGCATCAAAGCTGTTTATATAATGAAACTGAAAGAGCTGTCCAATGCCGTATCACTGACTACACCCAGGAAAGCATTCCTTCTTCTCCAGAGAATAGAGGAGTGGAAGAAAAAGAAAAAAAAGAAGAAAATCCCCCTGAACAATGCAGCACAACAACAGCAAAGCATACTCAGAAAGAGAGCGAGACTGCAAAAATGAGAGAGAGCATGAGGCAATAGAAAGGTTGTTTATTTTAAGTCAGCCTCGTGTACCAACAGAAAGTGGTATTAAAATAGAGCCTATTGTTGTGAATTTGTGATCTGTCAGTCCATGTGGGAAACAAAGAGAGAGAGAGACGAGAGAGAGAGAGAGAAAGAGAGACTGGTGTAATTCCCATGAGGTCTCTGTCATTCTTCTGTCAGAGGAGAGAGGTCTCTCCAGGGGAAGAGAAAGTTCTCAGACACAGACTGACAGACAGACTGTTTACACTTAGCGTAGATATCCCTCTCTCCCCCTCACCACTCTCCCTGCACTACTCACATCCTAATGGCATCGTAATGACCTCCTCAGGTGTTAACTGAGAAGCCGGCAGAGGTCTAATTCAAAGTAAAGTACTGTATGCCACCATGGGTGCCGGCGGTAGCGACAGATGCCAACGCTGCAACTACCAGCCCTCCTGCCTTTTCTCCAACACTCCCCTTCAAACCCCCACCCCCTGTCCAATTCCCTTCTCTTTCATCAACTCTAATCCAACTCACCCACTCCCTGCAACCATTTTTGTCTGACTGTGTCTGCTTCCTCCTCCGTGCTCTCAGCAGAAGCTGCAGCAGCAGTGTTTAAGTGTTTTGGGAATGGAGACGTGATGGCAGTCAGTGAATCTGGGCAGACAGCTGTCATTTATAGTCCCTCTTTAGAGAGATCCCATTATCTTCC